AAATTAATATTTTAACCTTATATGTATAAATGATGAAAACCCAAAAAGGGAGTGACATACTGAAAGCAGATTTCAATTTTTACTCCTGATTGTTGTTTCAAAAAATGACCTGGGCTTAAACTTGACGGTATCGGGCTTGTTTCCACACGTAATAATATGTACGAAGGTTCCAAGTTGGGCTGCAGATAGTCCAGTTTCAGACTTTCTGCCATTTGGAGGACGGAACTTTTGCGCCCAAGCATGAATTTGGTTCCTTTCCTAAATTACAGCCCGCCAATTTTAGTACACAAATATTTCCGCGCCACTGCTGTAGGTCCAAGTCAAAAAAACTGGTACCAACGGCAACAGAACTCATTCCTTTGCTCATATATCCCAGAAATTTGTTCTTTTTAATTTGAAGCTGTTGGGCGCGGAGAAGCTGATATTGAACAAGTCTGAGGTTAGGGGTGGCAGATTATGGAAGGCCATCATGGATTGTGCTGGTGATGAATACGACATCGAAATCTTGGAGCTGATAAGGGCGGCAGCCCGCGGCGAACTCCCTGAACAAATCTAATTCAGGCCGTCCAAAATTATATACCGCAAGAATCAAAGAAATCTTAGATAATTTCATGAGATATTGAGACATATAGTTTATTGACATGTTCAGCAAAAGTTAATTTTTGTTTTCTTTCTTTGCAACAGTTCCCGCTCTCTTTGTATTCTATTTAATCTTGAATGAAATTCTTTACATTTTCAACACATTGCTTTTTCCTGAAAAAAGAAAATTGTAGAAAATGATAAGGGAATCCATTGATCTTGAATGAAATTCTTTGCATCTGCACAAAAAATAGCTGGTGTTCTATTCGGACGAATTTAAACTTTCGTGAATTCTCAAATGATTAGAAAAGAGTTAGATAAGAATATAAGTTTATCATTTTTTTATATAAAAATAAGATTTTTTTGAAATTTTAAATTAAATAGTAAGTTTTTGCTTTTTTATTTAAATATATGAACATTATCTCATTTTGA